CATGAACCTTTTCCAAGTCACTTTCCAGGATCGATTCGCTAAACGCTTATGCACGAAGTCTACAGCGACATCCTGAACTTACCTAAAGCAGGGCCTAAGGGGGAGCTCTATATGATATCTTTTATCGAAGCTTGTACTCGCTACGTTTGGACTGTCAACATTCCAGCTCGCCATATGGCTCACTCTATTTTCGTTGTATGGCTCACAGTCGCTGAAAGAGAATCGAAAGAAAAGCTTCAAGAATTTCAAAATGATAGTGCAAGAGAGTATACGAGCACAACTTTCACTGACTATCTTCAAACCCTAGGTATCAAACGCCGAGGGTCTCTGCCACATCAACACCAACAGATGGGGGTAGCGGAGCGGATGAACAGAACGTTACAGGAGAAGATGAGAGTTTTGCTGACTCAAGCAACCCTTCTACCACACTTTTGGACATATGCCGTGGACCATGCAGTTCTTCTGCACAACTTGCTCTCCACAACGTCTCTTCCCCAATTTTCTTCGCCGCATCTGCAGTGGACAAAGACAGTTGGCAACACAAAACGTTTAAGAGTTTCTGGCTGCATCAATCAATACCGACCTCCAACTGGAGCACTCGGAAAACGTTACGAACGGGCTAAATGGGGCATTCATCTTGGCATCGGGAAGCAGTTTTACGCATGGAAAATTATGGATCTTCGCACGAGTCAAATCGTACCAGCACGTGATTGTCTTTTCTACGAAAGACTCACCTTACCTGTTTTTTGTGCTCCACCAGCAGCAGCTGCCAACCCTGCTAGGCTGTTCAAAGGCTCGCAGCTTTCGCTACCGACGAAGCTGAAGTAGATGTACAGGATGAAGTAGTTGCCGAGTCTTTCAAAGCAGCCACAGACATCCTCGTGCCAGCCACGTCAGCTGGAACTGTTGAATTTATTCCACTCAGCGAAGCCGACTCTTAAGACGTCAGGGACGTTCTTCTCGATTACGAACGTGATCGCCAGCAGCAGCTCATGCCGTTGTCTCCGAACCGGCTGTTCGTGCGACACCTGGCAACATTGGGGGGGAACAGGGGTCAGAAGGCAATTCCTCGGGTGTCAACTCCAATCGTCCTCGTTTTATAGAAACTGGGTTACAAGTTTTAGGACTCACAATCGCAGTACAGTCGAACATCCAGTAAGATTTTGGAGCCGTAAACAGTTCGCCAAGCTTTGACCAGACCACACTGGGAAAAATGGCGAGAAGGCATAGACCGGGAACTAGCGGCTCTGGAAAAGCGAGGTACCTGAGATTTGATCCCCCTAAAAGAAGTCAAGGGGAGTAAGGTACTTACCGACATATGGGTTTTTTGTGTGAAGACGAACGCTGATGGTTCCTTCGAAAAATTCAAGGCGCTATGGGTTGTCTGCGGATTCGAGCAGACTTTTGGACTCGACTACGAGCTAACTTTCACTCCTATCGGCAGACATACTAGTTTCCGCATCCTACTTTGCATTGCAACCTGCCGAAACATCAGACTTTGTCAAATCGATGTCGCCAATGCATTTCTCTATGCACCCGTTGACGCTTTAATTTTGGTTGACTACCCGCATTCTTACGAAACTAACCCTCCCAGCGTTTGCCGTCACAAAAAAGTCACTCTATAGCATTAAATAGGCTCCACGCCTATGGTAGCAGTATCTACATGCTCAGTTACTGACTGCTGGGTTTCGCCAACTCCCGCACGACCAAGGAATGTATTTACTTACCGACGGACTTGACTACATCCTACTCGTCGCTTATGTTGACGACTTACTCTACATTAGCACCACCCATTCCCTCGTTACTACCTTTGAACACACACTTTAACAACACCTACAGATCACCATCACACCTACCATCACACAGTTTCTCGGCCTCAACATTCACCACACTCCAACTGCTAATCATCTTACCGCTTCCAAGTACGCCGCTAGACTAGCCGCATGTTGTAACCTCACACCTTCAACAGTCACCACACCTTACCGATCTCTACACACGGTCTACAAGCCGGATACAACTCCACTTGACAACACTGAACTATAGCTCTATCAGCAGCAGTTGGGTTGCCTTCTATTCGTAGCCGTAACGTGTCGTCCAGATCTCGCTTATGCCGCTAGCCAGCTCGCGCAATATTTGCGTCGACCTGAGAGGGAGAATCGGCTAGATCTTCTTCGCGCTCTACAATACTTCATTTCGACACCTGAAGTCGGACTTACCTTTCAAGTCACCACTATGAAAACTCTATACCTCAACGGGTACGTCGATGCTGATGTTGCAGCAGATACTTTTAATCGTCGATCTCGGACCGGCTTCATCTATCGTCTCGAACCTATCGGGACTATCTCCTGGAATTCTACAAAGTAAGTGCTCATAGCTCTATCATCTGCTAGAGCCAAGTTTATAGCTGCTTGCACAGCTACTCGCGAAGGTCTCAATCTACAAGAGCTACTGGAGGAAGCGAAATTGACGACAAGTACACAGTTCACCGTGTAGTGCGACAACCAAAGTGCGATCAGAATTGCGCACCAACCCGGCTTCGCCAATAGGACGAAACACATTTTGGTACGATAGTTTTTCGTTAAGGATGAAGACGAGAAGGGGAGAATGCGATTGGTCTACTACTCGACCAATGAAATGGCTGCAGATTTTCTCACCAAGAAGCTGACATGTCAAAAGTTCCAGTACTGCAACGAGCTCTGCGAAATTATCAAGAAGTAACACTATCGGACTTCCAGAAATGAAGGGGAGTGTTGTGATAAATTTGTGCTCAAGCATTTCTGTAAGTAGTTCCGATAGATATTGTCAAGTTATACTGTAGTTAGCATCTGTAGAATGACGTCAGCAAATAGCGCTCGTCTGGATGATTACGTCAGCAGGCCGTTTCAGTCACGCGAACAGTCGCGCCCCTTTCAGTAACGATTACCGAACAGGTACTTCTCGTAGATATAAAAGTAGCATGTCTCTCTTCTATGATTTACTTGTTCTTCAGTAAATTCTGGTCTACACTTACAAGTTCTAAGACTTCCGCTGTCTTACTAGTCTACCATTCCAGCAAAGATCCGTGCTCAAGTCTTGAAGTATCACAAGGCTGTAGCATTGATTCTGGTGTTACAACTTGTTAATACTGGCTGTTACTGGTGGTACTTCCAGTATTATTTTCTACTTGAAGTGCTTGCGTTTTCATATTCTATACTTGTCTCCTGCACCATTTTACAATTCTTAAACCTACACGGCATATGCCTTGGGACCTAGCGAAGCAGGACCCAACTCGCGCGGTACAGTGTGGTGCAAGTACCGAAGGGCGAAGTCAAATGTGGTGCAGTTCGGTAACGGTAAGGCACAAAGTTGAAAGTGCCGATGCCATCTTTTCTCATAGATCAGACGACTCTGGGCTGCGCTAATGATTATCGCATGGATATGGTTGACGCGGCCCCTCAATTTACTCGATCCGATGGCTGTCGCGAGGTTGAGTTCTTCACGTGGGTTCTCGAGTTGATGTCGCAAATGATCGGTGAAGTGATCCGCAAAGGGATCAAGGAGCTTGTAGGATTCCCATGTGGCTTTCATACCCTGTTGGAGTGGCAAAGTGACAGTAGTGGAAGCTAAGTGATCTCTTAGCCAAATATATAGGACCACAATGTTGGAAGAGGTTTAAGCTAGGTAGGAGAGAATAGCGAGAGAAAGGAGTTTTGACTAGGAGAGAGAGAGAGAGAGAGAGAGAGAGAGAGAGAGAGAGAGAGAGAGAGAAGAGAGAGAGAGAGAGAGAGAGAGAGAGAGAGAGAGAGAGAGAGGTACAAGAAGGGGGTTGTCTTCTCTACAGTACGATTCAATTATTTGTAGAAACACCTACCAAGTCTATCCAACTACATATATATATATATATATGTGTGTGTGTGTATAAAGTTGACACACCCCCTAGGCTTGGGAGGCGCTAGCACACCACATACGCAACACCCCCAAGCCCTTGCACCCCCATGTCCTGCAGTAGCTGTGGCTCTTAGAAGGAGCTAAGGTAGGCATGAGAATAGCGAGAGGTTTTAGCTAGGTAGGAAAAGTGACGAGAGAAAAGAGGGTTGACTAGACAAGAGAGAGATACAAGAAGGGTGTTGTACCCTCTACAATAGGATCCACAATTGTAGAACACCTAACAAGCCTACACCACTATATATATAAAATATATAAGTTGACACACCCCCTAGGCTTGGTAGGCACTAGCACACCACATACGCAATACCCCTAAGCCCTTGCACCCCCATGTCCTGCAGTCGCTGCGACTTATAGCCCTTGCGTGAAACGACGACATCGGCGGTGGGAGGCAACAACGGCGTCAGCGGCGGCTACGACGACGACAGCGGTGGCGGTTGCTTCGACGAAGACGGTGGCGACTGCGATGCCTGCGGCACCTGACGGCATGGCACTACCCGGGGACGACGGGGAAGGGAGCCACTAGCTGCAGCTGGGATGAGGGGAGACGCAGGGAGGGGGGCATGTCTTCAGCGAGGCGCCGTGATTGGCGCGGCACTTGCTGGTGTGCGGGCGTGCTGGCTGGCGCCCAAACCAGCGCGTTGGCCGCAACCGTCATTGCGCTGGCGCATCAAAGCTGCCGCGGCAGCACGACGATGCCACGGCAACACAACGAGGCCGCCGCGGTAGCTCGGTGAGGCCGCCACGACTGCTCGACGAGGCCACCACGCGTCGAGGCCGCCATGGCAGCAGGACATGGCCGCCGCGACAGCGCGTCAAGGTCGCCGCGGCAGCGCGGCGAGGCCACCACGGCTGCTCGACAAGGTGGTCGCGACACACGGCGAGGACGCCACGGCAGCACATGGAGGGCACCACGGCAACGCGAAAGTGAAAGGAGAGGAGAGAGTACGTGGCAGAAGCGTAAATGGGAGGCTCAGCAAGATCTTCCTGCTCTGATACCATGTTAGTAGAAGCTAAGAAGCTAAGGTAGGCATGAGAATAGCGAGAGGTTTTAGCTAGGTAGAAAAAGTGACGAGAGAAAAGAGGGTTGACAAGACAAGAGAGAGAGAGAGAGAGAGAGAGAGAGAGAGAGAGAGAGAGAGAGAGAGAGAGAGAGAGAGAGAGAGAGAGAGAGAGAGAGAGAGAGAGAGGAGAGAGAGAGAGAGATACAAGAAGGGTGTTGTACCCTCTACAGTAGGATCCACAATTGTAGAACACCTAACAAGCATACATAGCTATATATATAAAATATACAAGTTGAAAGTGGCTTCTGCCCCTCGGCGTACGAGATGGCGACGTCGGCGGCGGGTGTCAGCAACGGCGTCAGCGGCGGCTACGACGACAACAGCGGCGGCGGCGATGGCGGGTGCCAGCTGCACCTGCAGCGGCTTCGACGATAGCGGCGACGACTGCGAAGCCCGCGGCACCTAGCGGAATGGCACGGCCCATCGACGACGGGGAAGGGAGCCATCAGCTGCGGCTGGGATGAGGGTAGACGCAGGGGAGGGGGCGTGTCTTTAGCGAGGCGCCCTGGCTGGCGCGGCGCTGACGGGCGTGCGGGCGTGCTGGCTGGCGCCTGAAACAGTGCGCGGGTCGCTGCCTTCCGTGCGATGGCGCATCGAAGCCGCCACGGCAGCACCACGACGCCATGGCAGCACGACGAGGCTGCCGTGGCAGTGCGGCGAGGCTGCCACAGCTGCTCGACGAGGCCGCCACGCGTCGAGGCCGCCATGGCAGTAGGACGTGGCTGCCACGGCAGCACGTCGAGGCCGCGACGGCAGCACATGAAGGCCGCTACGATGGCGCGAAAGTGAGAGGAGAGGAGAGAGTACGCGGCGGAAGCGTGAATAAGAGGCTCAGCATGATCATCCTTCTCTGATACCATGTTGGAAGAGGTTTAAGCTAGGTATGAGAGAAAATAGTTATGACCAGGAGAGAGAGAGAGGTATAAAATGGGGGTTGTCCTCTCTACATTAGGTTTCATTCATTTGTAGAAACACCTACCTTGTCTAAACAACTATATACATAATATATAAGTTGACACACAAAACACAGTGATGTAAAAAATAGTTATGAGTTTGATAGATAGTTCAATGATGAAACGTGGTAACCACAATGTGTCGCACAAGCGCAGCGAGTGACATTCGGTTCGGTTGTCTCCAAACCAGACTAACCTGGTTCGATGGAATGCGGCATTTGCGGCGCAGGGAACACGTGTATCTGCTCTTGGGACCTTCCTCATATTTCGGATGAGCGATGGTGGGCGTTTGGCGATTCCCATTCCGCGTTGACAGTGAGTCAAGTGTCCCTGAAACAGCTGTAATTCAACATTGGTCTACGTGTTACCTGACATTGCGTTCAGTACAATTTTGTGCTTGCGGGGTGTGCAAACGCACGCAAGCCGCGAAACTTCGCGCGTCGCGCAAGCACTGCTTTGCTCTGCTTGACCAGCCTGCTCTGGTCTGCAGCACTTCCGTCCCCCTCACCCAGTTCCTGACTCGACTCCTCGTTCCCTCGCGCCACGAGGGCACATTCCCACGCGGACCTTCTATAAAAGCGCCGATAAGAATAGCTATGGATTCATCAGCTTCAACCCACTGCTCTATTCTGTCTCTGATTCAAACAGCCAAACAGCAATTCACCTCAATCCACCGCCCTATCTATATTTTTCCCATCCTCTCATACAATCCCTAATGGCGTGTGGCAATCGCGGGCTGCTGCTGGCGCTGGTGTTGGTGCTGCTGGCGATTGCCGTAGGTGCAAGGGAGACTCCCCAGGGAATCAAGGGCGTTGCAGGGCAGCTAAAGGGGGCTCGCATTCTAGCCACCGAGGCCTTCTCTCGCCATACCCGCCTGCCACACTACCTCGCCCACATCCCTCGCCGCAAGGCACTTGCCACCAGTAAGTGCTCTCTATCTCCCTTTCTCTTCACTCGTCCCTTTTCTCGTAGAGTGTGCTGTCCCCTACGCCTTTCCTCCTCTATCCGCCTTTCCCCCTCTGTCTAGTCCAGCCTTGCATTCCATCCCCCGCTCTCCCCTCTCCCCCTTCCTTCTCCATTCGGTCTGACGTGCGGGAGCTCGACGGTGACGATCCGTGTCTGCCCTTCCCCCTTCCCCATCCCTATACCCCTTCCCCCCTTCCCCCCTCCCCGCCCCCTCCTCCCCCAGCATGCACACGCACGACTGTGACGATCCGTTCTCAGAACTTGGGGCCGTTCGACTTGCAGAACGACATTTTCAACATGACATTTTACAACGGGTGTGCTTACAACGTGACCAGCCCGCTGCGCGTGTGGAAGTGCTTCAACTTCAACAATATATGGGACGGCTCCCTAGATAACCCCACGCCCAACCCCTCGCAGTACCAATTGGGCCCAATCTTTGGGCAATCCTCACCAGAGTATTGCGAGATGTGGATGAACCGGGGGGCGTCTGGCGATGTGCAGATGTTTCCGGGTGAGACGGTGAACGTTTTGTACGCATGGACGCATGCCTTCCTCCCCTGCGCTCATGACCTCCACTTCAGCAACGGCAACACCTACTCTATGACCAACACCACGGATTGCGTCGAAGCAGAAACTATCTAGTCCCCCCCCAAGACCAATCCATGAGTACACCACTGCTGCGTTTCACGAGTTGAACTCTCATGGGAGGATGTACCTCTTTGCTGTCCGCTGCTACTGCCTTCCCTCTGCTGTCCAGGCTCCGATTTGCTTCCGCTGCTCTGCAATTAATATTGAAAGGGAAAAAGGCAGCACACTGACAGGAAGGGGGAGGCTGTTGTTTTGCTTCCGGTTTGTGTAGATCTTTTATAGTTTTGGGGGAGGGGGTGGGAGGGAAAGGGGGCATAGCAATTGATGATAAACATTGGTAGTGTTTAACTCTGGCATGTACATATTGTAGTAGTTTATGCATCTGGGCTGTTTCATTCAACGAGTTGCCTAGGTGGCAGATGGATGGTTTTCATTGATTCTGGTAGAAGCATGCCCACAAGTACTGAATGGGGAAGGCAATGGGGGAGGTCATCCGCGTTTTATTTGAAGCACCTCGCTAAGCCTTCTGCCCCTTTCTGCAGAGAGGTCGTTGTGGATCAGCCGGTTATGTCCAAAGGAGGGGGGATAGAGCATAAGGAATTTGAGGGTCAAGGGTCAAGCGTCTAGTACAGTCCAAGGGGCGAAACCAAGGATAGTCCTGTTGGAGGAAGGAATGCCTCATGGCTGACGGTGGGGCTGCACCTACGCTAGTGCTAGCACAGCTACGGAGGAATTGTGGGGAACGAGAAGTTCGAGGGGGAAGAAATATGGGCCAACTTCGATTTCCCTCACACTATGGCTGGAGCCTTATTCAGGTTGGCTCACTTTTGTAATTTAGGCTAGAGTACAGCAGAATTCTGTCGCGTGCTGTTGTGGCAGTTAGAACCCCTCGGGGTTACGTCCAGCCCTTGATGCAAGCTGGCACATGTTCGTGCCAAATTGCGTCAGCAGCAGCAGACTGGACTGGAGGGGTGGCCTGGATTCATTTCAGCAAGGGGTGGGCGGAGTCAAGGGCATAATGTTTTGGGTAATGTTTTGAATATTTGTTACTTTCCCGAGTCAAGGGCTGATTGAGGGAACCTAATTTTTGACAGATTTGGTTGTCTCCGAACCGACCCCATTGGTTATGGGAAAAAATTCGGCTTAGAAATGGGTTGATTGAAAGTGTAGATTTTGGTGGATTTTGGCCGAAAATGGACACAGACGAGTGCGACTTTGGTATGGAACCCGAATCCGACGACTACCTAAAAATCCAATCTGAAGTCCAACCAATCCGTGAGTTTGCAAGGAAATTCTTTTGGTGGGGGGAATGCGGGACACTTTGAGTCCAGCCCACCCCTCCTGCCGAATCTGTTGCTGAAGCAATGATTTGGCACGAACATGTGCCAGCTTGCGTCAAGGGCTGGACGTAACCCCGAGGGGTTCTAACTGCCACAACAGTATGCGACAGAATTCTGCTGTACTCTAGCCTAAATTACAGCAGTGAGCCAACCTGAATTAGTCTGCCACCATAATGTGAGGGAAATCGAAGTTGGCCCAAGAAATATGCCGAAGAACAGGTCCCTGAAGTTCTGGTCCAGAGTTGGCTTGGGTTGGGTTGAGATCAACCCAAGCTTGACACTTGGCAGCATGGGATCCAACCGAACTGATGTTGGATTGTTGGCGAAAGTTTGTAACATTCGCCAACACATGGAAATTCGTCTAACCCCGAATTTCTACTGGTGACTTCAATTGACTCGGGAATTTCAGCCGGTTTTCAAGAGACGGACTACCGACCGGGAAAATGTGTGAAGTCTAAATTTCGTCCCGAATCGCGGGCGATTCGGGATAACATTTGCTGCTCTATGTTTGTGATTAAAGACCAGAGAGAAATCCAGAGAAGAGACCAATTCGACATCCTTGTACCCAGCTTTGCTATTATGAGCATTTCTCTCTGAATTCTAGCTCAAACTCTGAGATTCAAGTTGCTCTGGAATCGTCACTCCAAGCCCGATCTATTGATCTAGTTTCAGCTCTTATTGTACTGTCTTGAGTTGACAGCATCACTCTGACAGAGGCTGATTCTTTCATGCTATCAGAGCCCGGTTAAGCACATCACGCTCCCATGGCCCCACCCGTAGGGATGACGTATGAAGGCGGTAGCTCTAGTTGCGCTGTCGAGGAAGTTGAAGGTGTGTCGTATGCTCTTCCCACCACAATGACCATGCTGGATTTGTCGGCGGGGAGTTCAAGTTTGATGGAGCGCAAAATTGTTCAAGTTAACAATTTCTCCGTGTGGAAGTTCAAGTTCAAGGTGCTCATGATGGAGTGCAAACTTTGGGCACTTTTCGACGGGACGGAGAAGAGGCCCACAAGTGGTGCGGATGCAGATGTGGCTGCATGGAAGGAGCGTGATCGCAAGGCCTTTGCAACCTTGACAGCCGAGCTCGGCATCAACCTCATCGGCTTGGTGAGCCCCTTCATCGACGTAGATGGGTCGGCGTGTGCTGCATGGCGACGCTTGGAGGCATTTCACATGAGCAAATCTCTACACGGCAAGCTGCAGGCTCACTACGCATTCTTCACGGCACGATGGAAGGAGGGTGAGTCCATGCGCGACTACACCAACCGCGTGCAAGAACTCGGCGAAACGATGGTGGAACTCAAGGCAGCCATCGATGACAAGGACTGGATCATGATGCTCTTGGGAGGGCTGCCAAAGGAGTACGCGACGCTCATCACGACACTCGACGGGACTCAAGACTCGTGGACCAAGGAGGGAGTTGTCACTCGCCTCCTTAACGAGGAGACACGGCTTGCACAATTCAGCGCGACCGACACGGGCGCCGCGTTGTTTGGAGGTTCACACCACGACAAGAAAACATCGGGGTGGAACAAGGGATCAGCGAAGCGCTCCTCCGGAGGTCGCGACTCCGACGACAAAGGCAAAGGGAAACGTGGCAACGGTGAATGCCACTATTGCGGCAAGCGCAGCCACTTTTGGCATCATTGACGTACGCGCCCGAAGGATTGGACACCCTCCAAGACGGGCAACGACAAGGGCAACGCTCATGCTACTACCGGCGAAGGGAGCGAGGTCGGCAAGTTGCTAGTCCTAATGGCCAGCCATGGGACGAAGGAAGGTGGAGCTGATTGGTTCCTTGATACCGGAGCCACTCAACACATGACACACTCCGCAAGCTTCCTTGATGGCATCGGCGAAGCAAGTGCGGTGAAGCGGGTCACGTTCGGCAACAATGAGTTTTTTCCGGTTGCGGGTGTTGGAACGGCTCATATGCTCGTCGATTTGGGTCCGATCAACATCACCAACGTGTTGCACGTCCCGGGACTGGCGGTGAACCTCATTTCTGTATCCCAATTGGCGAAGAAAGTGGTTACCTTCAACATCGACGCCGCTGCCATGACGTTGTCACACAATGGAGTGCCCTTCGCTAAGGGGTTTCTTGATGGGGAGCTGTACCGGCTGCGTACTTACTCTCACTTGGCATCGGTCTACATCGCTCAACTTGCCAAAATGCCTCTCAGGGTGTGGCACAACCGCTTGGGCCATGCCAACCTTGAGAAGATCAAGGTAATGGCAAGTAACGGCATGGCAAATGACTTCGATGTGGCTGCGGGGGATAGTGCGGATGAGGTGTGTGTGGTGTGCGTTGAAGGCAAACTGGCGTAAGCCATTTGCTGCCCGATCGTCACCTCTCGCCACCGAACCACTCGCGCTCGTGCACATGGACGTGTGCGGGCCGATGCCGATCACCTCAAAAGGGGAGCTCGCTACCTACTGGTCATGCTTGATGATGCCACCCGTATGAATTGGACATGGCCTCTCAAGTCCAAGGCAGATGTGAAGACAATTATCAAGCAATGGGCATTGCGCATGCGTACCAAATTTGGGAAGCCGTTGCAACAGATTCGTAGTGATGGTGGGGGAGAGTTCGTGAATGACGATCTCAAGGAATGGATGGCTAAGGAGGGCATTCATCATGAGGTCTCCACACCTTACTCCCCCCAACAGAATGGCGCTGCAGAGAGGCACGATCATGGAATCCACACGTGCTCTTCTTCACCATGCCAAGGCCGGAGGGGAATGGTGGGGCGAGGCGAGCGCATTGGCGACGTGGATCCACAATCGAATCACTACCAAGGCGCCGCCCAACACCACCCCATTCGAGGCTCGGACCAGAGAAAAACCGTCCCTCTCCCTTCTACGCACCTTTGGGTGCGTGTGCTACTATCACGTACCGGCACCGATGCGTAACAAATTGCAGCCGAAAGCGCGGAAGGCCATCTTCCTCGGAGTGGCTGCAAACGAGTGGCGCGTGTGGGATATGGCTGAGAAGCGGGTCGTCGTGTCACGTGACATCGCCTTCATGGAAGACAGGTTCCCAGTGATGGAACGGGCGGTGACATTGGTCTTGCCACCCGACCATGAGGAGATCCGTCGCTCCCCCGCCCCTGTTAGGGGGAGCACCGGATGAGGCTGAGAATGGAGAAGTAGTGAGAGGCTCCAACGTGGGAGCGGTGCAACCTTTGGTGCCCAATGCTGCTCCACCCTCAACTTCTGCCCAACCTCCTCCTTTGGCCCTTACCCGTGAACGCCACATGCCGCATCCTCACCCACGCTTCACCGACTATGTGATGGTAGCGGATGGGAAAGACGAAGGAGAGGAAACCGTGGGCTACTGTTTTGCCATCACTAACGAGGACCCTAAGACCTATGATGAAGCCATGAAGGCGCCTGATGCGGCACGATGGAAGCACGCCATGGATGAGGAGCTCGCGTCACTTCTGAGAAATGACGTCTACGAGCTTGTTGTGCAGCCGAATGGCGCATACCTCGTGGGATCCAAGTGGATGCTGAGGCGCTAGTACGGTCCTACCGGCATGCTTGATCGCTACAAGGGTCGTCTTGTAGCTCAAGGCGTCACCCAGTGGGAGGGGGAGCATTATCGTGACACCTTCGCACCTGTTGCTAAGGGCGCCACGCTTCGTCTTCTCCTCGCCATCGCTGCCGGCTTGAACCTTGAGGTGGATCACGGCGTTTCTCTACGTCATTCTTCTTGAGGCAGTGTATATGCGGCAACCCCCGGGCTTTGACGACGGCACCGGGCGTGTATGGAAGCTGAAACGTACCTTGTACGGGCTCAAACAGAGCCTGCGGGGATGGTACAAGCACATCGACGAGTTCCTCTTGGGTCACGGGTTCGCTCGTAGCAACTGCGACGCCGCCTTGTACGTGCTGAACCGTGAGGGGGAGCAGTTGGTGCTATTACTCAACGTCGATGACCTTCTTCTTGTGTCGGACTTGAAGATGCTGATTCGTTCGGTGAAGGAGCAGCTTGGTGCTGAGTTTGCAATGAGGGACCTTGGAGCAGTCACCTACTACCTCGGCCTGCACATCGATAGGGACAGCACCGACGGCACTCTCCACTTGCACTGACGGAAGTACGTGACTTCCATCGTCGATAGGTTCGACATGGGCAGCAGCAAACCAGTGGGAACTCCATTGCCCACGAGTTTCTCCGCTCGCCTAACCGATGAGGACTCAACGGTCAGCGAAGAGGAAGGGAAACGCTACCACTCCCTCGTGGGATCGCTCGTGTACGCGGCGGTCTCTACACGGCCCGACCTTTCCTTTGCAGCTGGGGTCTTGGGAAGAGCGGTAACCAGCCCTCATGTTGAGCACCTACGTGCAGGAGCTCGCATGTTACGTTACCTCCAAGGGAATCCAACCAAGGGGCTCCTATTTCAGAGGGGACCCAGTGAGATCAAAGGCTATACCGATGCGGATTGGGCAGGGGATCCGGCTACCCGCAAGAGCACTTCCGGCTACATCTTCACCTTGCTTGGAACAGCTATTAGTTGGCAAAGCAAGAAGCAGGGAACGGTGGCACTCAGCTCTACCGAAGCTGAGTATGTTGCTCTTTCTCAAGGGGCAGCAGAGGATATTTGGCTGCGACGCATGCTAGCTGAACTTGGCCACCCACAAACCAGCCCCACACCTTTGTTCGTGGACAACCAAGTGGCTATTCATCTCGCCCGCAACGCTGTGCTTCAGGGTCAAACGAAGCACATTGAGGTCAAGCATCATTTCATTCGCCAAGCTGTGGAAGGGGGCGAGGTTGAGCTGCGGTACATCAAGAATACTGCTCAACCTGCTGATTTCCTCACCAAACCCCTACCCAAAGACTCATTCCGTGCATGCTGCGAGCGCGTTGGGATGCATGAGTAGCCATGGGTGCAAGGGGGAGTGTTGGAGGAAGGAATGCCCCATGGCTGAAGGTGAGGCTGCACCAACGCTAGTGCTAGCACAGCTACAGAGGAATCGTGGGGAACGAGAAGTTCGAGGGGGAAGAAATATGCCGAAGAACAGGTCGCTGAAGTTCTGGTCCAGAGTTGGCTTGGGTTGGGTTGAGATCAACCCAAGCTTGACACTTGGCAGCATGGGATCCAACCGGACTGATGTTGGATTGTTGGCGAAAGTTTGTAACATTCGCCAACACATGGAAATTCGTCTAACCCCGAACTTCAAGAGACGGACTACCGACCGGGAAAATGTGTGAAGTGTAAATTTCGTCCCAAATCGCGGGCGATTCGGGATAACATTTGCTGCTCTATGTTAGTGATTGAAGACCAGAGAGGAATCTAGAGAAGAGACCAATTCGACATCCTTGTACCCAGCTTTGCTATTATGAGCATTTCTCTCTGAATTCTTGCTCAAACTCTGAGATTCAAGTTGCTCTGGAAGCCCGATCTATCAACCTAGTTTCAGCTCTTATTGTACTGTCTTGAGTTGATATTGTCACTCTGACAGAGGCTGATTCTTTCAAGTCCACCAGCAGCTAAAAGAGCATCACCATCGTTGATGATATCCGCTTCCGAGATCCAGCTCGCTGAAAATTGTGGCTTCGCCGAGTTGATTAAAGAGTTCTTCCACACGTGGCCTGGGGTAGCGGTTCTTGATGGTAATCTTGTTGAGTGCACGATAGTCGATGCACATCCGCATGCTGCCATCCTTTTTCTTCACGAAGAGAATCGGTGCTGCATAGGGAGAGGAGCTGACTCGGATGAAGCCTTTCGCAAGAAGCTCTTCCAACTGCTTCTGGACTTCTTGCAGCTCGGCAGCACTCATCCGGTAGGTAGCACGGACGGTAGGTTTGGAGCTTGGGAGTAGAGTGATGCTGTGATCGGTGGCTCTCTTGGGAGGAAGACCAGAGGGAAGGTCTGAGGGGAATATGTCTGTAAAGTCATCTAATACCTGTTGAATTTGAGGAGGGATCTCAACAGCCTTGGAAGGGGAAGAGGGAGAAGGACTATCACAGGTTTTGTTTAAAGGGCAAGGAAATAATTGAGCACTTGGGTCGTTTAAAGATTTTTTTTAAAACTATCTTGCTGAAAGAAGGTTACAGAAAGTGGGTATGGTAGGAGACGAAGAAAGTGTAGGTAAGGATATCTCTCTTCCAGAGTTAGAGATGGTAACAGTTCCAAGGGTCCAATCAATCTTGGGATTAGCAATACACAGCCAATCACACCCAAGAATGATATTATGGTCTCCAAAAGATGCTTGCTGAAATTGAATCTTGGTTTTGTAGGGTCTGATGGTACAAGGGGCAGGGAAAGGAATTGGTCCACAAGAAATTAAAGTTCCATTTGCCATTAGCACTGTCTGAGGTAGGGATTTAGGTAAGGTTGGAAGAGAAAGCTTGGAAAGTAAAGAGGAAGAGATGAAATTTGAGGAAGCACCACTGTCAATTAAGGCTTGTACCCTTTGACCTCGGATGTTCATGGGAAGAAGCAGGGGTTTAGAAGGGCTATGGCTTTCAAGAGACGAGATGGAGGGGCTGATTTTGTTACCAGGAAGTTGCCCCGAACTCACTGGCGACTTTCGTTTCCCGGCGTTGGAAGAAGAGGCGGTTGATCAGTGCGCCCGCGGAAGAACTTCCAAATGTGTCCTTTATGTTATAATCACAATAGGCTTAGATGTGCCTATAATGAGAGATAGAGAGCACATTCGGATTTCCATCAGACGGCTTCAAATATTGATAACGATCTGGTCGCTGAATCAAACGGTGATCTATAACTTGGATCTAGAGCGCGTTGCTGTCGTCTATCAGCAGCAAGTTGAATCATGAAATTCCATGAAGATTTGATGACGCTATGGCGGGTTGACTGGCAGGAGGTATAGCAGCCACTATAGTCTTGGAAGTACAAACTTAGCAAGAAGAGTTCGAGATGGAGATGGTTCCCAGCCTCTACATACCCCAAGAGCCGAGGTCCAGGTTGGTGGTACACCACCACAGAGTCCCCAACCATGAAGAGTCTCGAAACAAACCCTCCAAGGGGCTACACCAAGTGAAATGTAACACTACACGAAGTAGCGTTACTATTTTCACTATTTAATATTTATCCGCGTCCCTTGGGCTTGAAATCTTGAGCTCTTCGTCTTGGTTCTGCAATTTAAATTCTTCTTGAGTTGATGGGGGCTTGCTGCACACACCTGCGATGCGATGGACACTTCACACTCGACAAAATAGAAAAAACACATGCGACACGCCAACGACGACTTGACATGCGAGTTGTAAAAACTCGCTAATGTCTTGACGGACACAAACCACATTGTGATACACCATTCAAACACACACACAAGCACTAGATTGAAATGACATAGACTCACAATTCATTCCATGCCATGCATGCACACACACAAACAAGGACGACAAGCCGAGTGCATGCCATAGGGTTGCACCAACAAACTCCCCCTCGGATTGTTGGCCTTAGAATCAGCTCCCCTTAGTTCAGAGGCATCCCAGCAAGCTTGCAACACTTCCAATGCTGCTGCTCAACTAGCCTCTTGGTCATCATATCAGCAGAATGTGCCGTCGTCTTCACGTAGTGCAACTCCACTTCACCCGCGGTTACCATGCTCCTCACCCAATGCCATTTGACCTTCATGTGCTTGGTAAGGCCATGAAGAGCCGGGTTCTTAGCCAATGCAATAGCACCCTGGCTATCACAATAGAGTGGGGTAGGTCCTTGCTGCTCCTCCCCCAATTCAGCTAGCAAACGCCGCTGCCACATAACCTCCCTTATGGCACGGAAGAGTGCCATGTACTCGGACTCCACCGAGCTCAATGCTTGGTCCACTTGCTTTTTGCTCTCCCAAGCTGTTGGGCCTCCACCAACACTGCAGATGAAGCCTCCCACACTTGTCATATCCTCTGGTTCTGATGCCCAAGATGCATCAGAGAAGGCAGTGGGAAAGAGCCTCCCGGGTTCGACTCCATCCGCACCCTTTTGACGCTTTTGTGCCGCCGCGGAGTATTGTAGTCCAACAGTTGCTGTTTGGCCAAGATACTTGGCCACTCTCTCTCCAGATGCTACCTGCTCTTCATTAGGGGATTGGACAACCCTAGCCAGCTGCCCGGTAGCAAAGGCTGCATCTGGCTCGTGTGAACGGCCGCATACATGAGGCTGCCCACCAAGGAGTGAAAACGGCGCCTCTCCTCTTCACCAACACTTTCCTCCGCTGGTCCTTTCACACACTTGAACCCTGAGGGTAGAGGAATAGCCACATGACCTTCAGTCTTCCCAAAGTTTGCAGCCAAGGCCTCCAAGTACTTCTTTTGATGCACTCGCATCCACCGCTTCTCCACATCTCGCTCAATGTGAAGCCCACGGTAGTAGTTGACGTTACCAAGGGTCTTGCACTTGAACTTGTCTTGAAGCTTCAGCATCACCTCCTTTACAAGGTCAGAGGAGGGTGAGAATATGAGGATGTCATCCACATAAACCACCATGAAGCTCCTCTGCTCCCCCTCGCCAAGCATAAACAATTATTGATCGGCCGTTGAGGGAGTGATGGGCCGGGAAGACTTCCCGCAGTTTGATGTACCATTGGCTAGGGGCTTGCTTGAGGCCATAGAGTGCTTTCTTCAGCTTCCACACTCTGCCACTCCCATCATTGTACCCCTCTGGCTGCTCCATGTAAGTCTCTTCCTCCAAAACGCCGTTGAGGAAGGCCGTTACTATATCCATTTGCTTCACCACCCATCCTTTGATGGCCGCCGCGGCGAAGAGGGTTCGAAGGGTTGTCCCTTTCACCACAGGGGCATACACTTCATTGTAGTCCTTCTTCTCTTGCTACTGATACCCCTTGGCTACAAGTCTGCTCTTGTAGCGCTCGATGTTGCCGTCGGCGTCAGTCTTGCGGTTGAAGAGCCACTTGGAAGAGATCGCCTTCCGCCCCGGAGGTAGGTTCACTAAGTCAAACGTGTCGTTCTCGATGATGCTCCCCATTTCTTCATCTGAGGCCTTCTTCCACTCCTTCCCATTGGGGCCCTCCCAAGCCTCCTTGGGATTTGTAGGCTCCCCCGGCATCTCCACCGGAGAGAAGAAGGCAAAGGCGCACTCCTCGCTTTCATCTTCCGCATCATCGCCTAGCATGAGAGCTGAACCGGTCAAGGTTGAGTTGGCTGGTCCTCCAAGCCGGTCATAGCTCAACCTATTAGGGGGCTGAGTCCTCCTTCTCCCCCTTCCTTCCTCCTCTGCTGCAGAGACTTGAATGCTCTCATGGCGTTGCGGTAAATCTGGTCAGTTCCCGCGAGCAATTGTAGCATGAGGCGGAAGTGACGGTGCACGCTCATCACCTTGCTGCACCTCCTCCTCCTCCTCAGCCCCATTCATTTGAGGAGATTGCCTCGTGATTGTGCTGCTGCTACTCAGCTCCAAGGGCAGCTCCACATGCTCCAAGCCGGTACTCTTCACCTCTCCAAGCCGCACACCAATCTTTGCTTGATTCTCCGCCTTCCACTCCTTGTACGGTAAGTTCTCCATGAACTTGCAATCTCTGCTCACCAAGAACTTCTTGGTAAATGGGTCCAAAAGAAGCCACCCCTTGCTGTTTTGAGCCATGCCTAGGTGCACGGCCCATGTTGCCTTGGCATCAAGCTTGTTGTGCCGAAGTTTCTTAGGCACAAGTGCCATGCACATGCACCCGAACACCTGAAGCATATCCACCTTCGGCTTCCTTCCAATCCACTCCACATAGGGCACCCATTTGTCTTCTCCCACATGAGTCAAGGCTCTGTTCTTGGCCACACAAGCATGCCGCACCGCATCCGGCCAAAAGTAATTGGGAAGACCGGCTTCAATGAGAAGTCCCCGAGCCGTCTCCGTGAGTGTCCGATTCGCACGCTCGGCGATGCCGTTCATTGCAAGAGAGTAGGGCATGGTAAGAGAGTGCCTTATGCCCTGCTTCTTCAGCCAAGTTGAGAAATCCTTGCTCAGGAACTCTCCCCCACGGTCAGTGCGAATCGCCTTCACAAGCCGGTCTTGTTGCCGCTCCACCATCGACAACCAATCGGTCTTCACCGTTTCAGCTACGTCACTCTTCTTGGGCAGCACATACACCCAAGTCATGCGAGTGTAGACGTCCACAATGGTGAGGAAGTACTCCGCTCCAGCAGCTCCAAGCTTCAAGGGGCCCACCACATCCATCACCACCTCATCAAGTGGTGCCTTCGCCGTTGTCTCCGAGCTATGGAACGGGTAGCGGGTGAACTTGACTTGCATGCATGTTGGACAGCCAAGCACCTCATTGGGCTCCCCCTTAACACGTATCCCACTGACCATCTCTTGCTTAACTATCTGCTGCAAGATGGGCAATGCCACATGCCCCATTCGCCGATGCAAGGTCAGCCAATCACACTCTCCCGTAGCGGAAGTCGGGTTGGAGAAAGCGGCACTCGCAATTGTGCCCCACAAGCTCTCTCCTTTCTCCTTTGCCGCTGCTGCTTTGCTGATCTTAGACTTCTCCTCCTCATTTCCACCACCTTTGGCTGCTGCACCACTCTCTTTGGGTTCACACGCCTTGCTCGTCTCTCCAAGATTGCACTCCTTCGAGTCACTCTTGGTGTCACTTTGTTTTCCGTGATCACCGCCACCAAACGCTGACCTTTCCCACAGTAGCTGGCTCCTCAAAGCCCTCCACCCCTCCTGCTGCAGCTTCCGCTTGCGTGGAGACAAAGAAGAATTGGCCCGGGTATCGATCTTCACTCGAGTCCTTGTCGTAGTCTCCACCTTTCATGCTTGCCGCTTCGCTTCCACGACCACCACAGCCTCCACGTCCTCTGCCTCTTCCTCCCCTTGCTCCTCTGCCCTCTTGGCCTTGAGAGGGGGTCCATCCATCAGGCAATCTGAAGCAATCTCTCCACATGTGGCCGGTCTTGTGGCAAAAGTGGCATTCGCCATCAAATCGACCGCGCCCACGCCCGTAGCCATTGTTGTTGTTGTTGCTGCCATATCCTCCATTACCACGGCCTCCATTGAAGTAGCTGCTGCCAAATCTTCCTCCTCGCCCTCTGCCCCTTCCACGGCCGTGCCCACGGCCCATGCTTGCAACTCCGGCACCATCGGTACCCGCCAATCGGCGACGGCGGAAATCTTCTTGTAAGGTTTCCCGCTTCACATACTCGAGTGAGAGACGCGGCAGATCTCGATTAAGGTTGATGATGAGCGAGGACCATGAGTCCAGAAGTAAGGCCAGCAGCTTGGTCTTCTTTTGAAGGCCACTATACTTCAGATCAGCTCCTTCGAGCCGTGTCAACAAGTCGAAGAATTTCTGCACTCCTTCCTCCCCCGGTTCGCCTTCGTCAATTCGAAGTGCCGCCATTTGCCGCTCCAAAACCACAGCCACCGCTGCTATTGCAGGAGCGTGTACACCCTTTAGAGCAGCCCATGCCTTTGGTCCCTTTGCTGGTTCACGCTGAAAAGGCTTGATATGACGGATTTGGCTGCTCCCCAACGCTTGCCCAAGTAGAAGGTAGCCTTGTGCGCTCTTCCGCACCCACGGGCTCTTCTCCGGGTCGTTCTTGGGGCGCTTCTCCGTTCCTTCCATCACCTCCAGCAGATCATAGTGGTCAAAGATGTTCTCCATCTTGAAGGACCACTCAGCAAAGTTGTCACTGTTGAACTTGTCAAGGCCAAACACTCTAGGCTCATCCCTAGAGGGTCCAAGGCTAGGTTGCACCGGAGCAACGGGTGGATCTTGGTGTTGACCTTGTGCTTGGGCGTCTTCTCTGCCTCCAGCACCTCTGCCACCCCCTTCCTCAAGTCTAGGCATGGTCGAGACGGCTCCAAGGGGCTCTGATACCACTTGTTATAATCACAATAGGCTTAGATGTGCCTATAATGAGAGATAGAGAGCACATTCGGATTTCCATCAGACGGTTTCAAATATTGATAACGATCTGGTCGCTGAATCAAATGGTGATATATAAGTTGGATCTAAAGCGCGTTGCTGTCGTCTATCAGCAGCAAGTTGAATAATGAAATTCCATGAAGATATGATGACGCTATGGCGGTTTGACTGGCAGGAGGTATATAGCCACTATAGTCTTGGAAGTACAAACTTAGCAAGAAGAGTTCGAGATGGAGATGGTTCCCAGCCTCTACATACCCCAAGAGCCGAGGTCCAGGTTGGTGGTACACCACCACAGAGTCCCCAACCATGAAGAGTCTCGAAACAAACCCTCCAAGGGGCTACACCAAGTGAAATGTAACACTACACGAAGTAGCGTTACTATTTTCACTATTTAATATTTATCCGCGTCCCTTGGGCTTGAAATCTTGAGCTCTTCGTCTTGGTTCTGCAAGTTAAATTCTTCTTGAGTTGATGGGGGCTTGCTGCACACACCTGCGACGCGATGGACACTTCACACTCGACAAAATAGAAAAAACACATGCGACACGCAAACGACGACTTGACATGCGAGTTGTAAAAACTCGCTAATGTCTTGACGGACACAAACCACATTGTGATACACCATTCAAACACACACACAAGCACTAGATTGAAATGACATAGACTCACAATTCATTCCATGCCATGCATGCACACACACAAACAAGGACGACAAGCCGAGTGCAAGCCATAGGGTTGCACCATCACTTTCTTGCCGCACTTGAATCACATGACTGGGGGCCTAATGTTCCGCTTTCTTTTCTCCATCAGGTCCAGGTCCATAGGAGCAGTTTCTTGCTGGTTGTTGTCTGCTGAAGTGAAGGATTGGTAGGAGGGAGCAAAAAGGAGAAGCGGGCTGCGAGGAAAGCGAGACTTACTGTAGGCAAAGTGAACAGCATCATACCGTTCAGCCATGCATATCATTTCCTCGAGCGTAGTGCAGTCTCTCAGCTCCACCTCCATGCTCACGTTCGGCTTCAATCCACGTTTGAAGCGATCCATTTGTTCAGCAATGGAGAGGTCCGGAATTTCTTGAGTGATATCACGGAAGCGAGAGGCATACTTCTGGACAGATTTCAGTTGCTTGAGGGCAGCCAAGGAGTCTCGTGCCTTGATGTTCGGGTTCACGGGTTGAAATGTTGACATGAAGACTTGCCTGAAGTGTTCCCAAGAGGTGATAGATGCGTACACAGATTGCCACTATGCGATTGCAGATCCACGAAGAAGAGTTCCGGTGAAGGTAGTCCATTCAGCAGGTGCTATGTGACTCAGCAGCAAGAACTGCTCTACGAGAAATAGCCATTGGCTCACGACCGGCTGATTTTTCCCGAGAAAGAAAAAATCAGGAAGAGCGGGTCTAGCGCGTTGATTTCCATCCGATGGTGCAGCAGGGTTCACGCCTTCCACCACTCCAGCTGCAGCTATACGGGCTTGCAATTCTGCCTGCAAGCTTTCTCTAACCTCAGAGATAATTTGGGCTCAGTAGGTTTGCAAGAAACCAGCCCAATCGTCAGGAGAAGGGGGGCCGTTAGTCGTCATGACGAGTTCTAAAAAAAAGAGGGTCGAAAATAGCTCTGATCACCAAATGAAACAGCCACTAGGCTGTTTGGAGTGGATAGTAGAGTTAAGGGTAGAAGTAGCAAAGGTATCTTTACTAGAGATCATATGATGCTTTCCAGTCAAGAAGCACACCACTATATACAAGGAGAATGACAGGGTCACCCAAGTCGCTTCTCACATTTGCTAAGCTAAGAACAATGATTACATGCATACACACTTAGCCTAGCTGGAATTCTAGGAACGAGGATGCATAGTCTATGAATTAACTATTGAAGCGTAGCATAGTTCTCCATGTACTGCTGTTGCTGATAACATTCTTAAAAATGATGAGATATAGCTGTGTTGGTAAAGACTCTGGCTGTAGTTGCTTTCCAGTTATTTGGTGTCGCTGTCGATTATTCTGCTGCGCTGCCTGGCTAGCTTGCGTGCTCTATGTAGTTGTTCCCAAGGTTGGAAAATCCGATTGACTGGTTGAACAATTTGAGGTTGGGTTCAACCTTCGAATTGCCCAAAGGTGTGTTCCGTGGTTGGTTTTCAACCTCGAAATCAAATGGAGTTCAGTTGGCGAAATCGGGAGTGACGATTTTGCCTCCGTCTTGTTACACCATAGCCTATGGATGCTCTGGCGAGTTCGAAATGCACCACTCGGTGTACTACTATGTTCTCCCCTAGATTGGCTTTCGCCATATCAGTTATGTTTGTGCTAGTGCTGAGTTCCTGCACCAATTAATCGATAAGCAAGCATTTTGCCACTGCCCAAATTATTTCACCAAGAAACAGTTGGTAATTGCTAGCATATTGTCATGAGTTGCCCTTGCATGCATTTCGCCACAGCAGCCAGGATTTCGACAGTAGCATGCGAAAGATGCCACAGCAAGACTTCTATGCCAACCCAAGCGCAGTGGCGATGACCTAAGAATGTAAGCGGGGGAGTGGCATCTGAAGAAATGAAGGACGCTTCCAACAACCCCTCCAATTTATCTCGAAATAAGAGGGAAGAAAAGCTGGTAGCTGGAAATTTAAACGGATGCCTCTAGCAACGGATTCAATCTATCAAAATAAGATGAGAAAATGGTAAGTCGAATGCGCACCATGCACGCCAGCCTTTTCCAGGCAAGGTGGCCTGGGATCTAGCTTATTATCGAGAGCTCCATCGTCAACTAAGGGGGCACCAATTGCAATTGGGTTTCAAGTGGGTTGCGACATGTTTGCGGTCCTGGGGGTTTCTCCTAGTTTGGCGAGTGGCTTTCCAGTATGGCATCGGCTTGGAAGCCACTTGCTTGCTTGTTCGGAGGCAGCGAGAGATTTTCCTGACACAAGGTTTGCACTTCGTGATTCGTCATAGACGCGAACTCGATAAGAGTTACTGCTCAAGTGTCATTTTTAGGAATGTAAGAATTAATTCCTTGTCCCAACACTCCCCTTCATTGGTGAAGGTACTTGAGCTTGGCGCGCTTAGAAATCCCGCAGGGCTCGGCGTAGTGCTGGTACTGTTGTTGTGACAGCTTCCTGGTAAGGAAGTCAGTTGCCATGTCACAAGTGGGGCAGTATGTCAAGTCCACCTTGCCTTTGTCGACTTCGTCCTTGACTAAAAAGTATCGTAGGGCGATTTGCTTTGTGCGATTTACGAAGCCGGGTTTGTTGGCAATCTTGATTATGCTCTAGTTGTCCCAATGTAACCTGAAGGTTGGCGACGTGCTGAGCTTCGCTTCTTGCAGCAGTTCTTGAAGGTAGAGTCCTTGGCGAACAACAGATGTTGCTGCAATTCATTCTGCTTCAGCCGAGGAGAGAGCAATCGATTCCTACTTCTGTGAGTTCCAGGAGATAGGTCCAGTAGGTTCTAGTTGAAAGAAGAAACCTGTGCATGAATAACGATAAGCAAGGTCTGCGGCGTGATTTGCGTCGACATGGCCAGTGAGTTGGAATGAAGGTGTAGTGATGGTGGAGTAGAAGAGGCCGATGTTGGGAGTCAAAATGAAATACATGAGAGCTCGCTGTAGATCTAGGAGGTTCTCCCCTTCATGTCGTCGAGAACTACTGGGCGAGCTGGCTAGCAATGTAAGATTGGTCGGGCCGGCATATGACGGTGGCGAACATCAGATAGCCAAGTTGTTGTTGGCAGCGTTGATGTGCGGCAGGTGCCAATGTCTTGGTGTTGGGCTTGTAGCTTGCGGCAGGTGTTCGGTAGGGTGTGGAGAGCGGTGCTGATGTGAGGCTAAATTTCTTGGCAAGGGTCTCGGCATATTTCGACGCGGAGAGGTGAATGACTTCTGGCATGTAGGAGATGTTGATCCCGAGAAATTGAGTCACAGTTTTGGAGGTGGTGATGTCGACGCGCTCTCCCATGCTTCACTCGAATTGGTCAAGCAGATCTGGGTTGGTGCCCGTTTACAGTAGATCGTCGACGTAGTCCGTGAGGAGGATGTAGTCCACGCGGAAGTGGAGGTGATACACCCAGGGGTCATGGGGTAGCTGGAGGAAGCCGATATCCAGCAAGATATCAAGCAAGTGCTGCTGCCAGAGGCATGGTGTCTGCTTGATCCGAGGATCCCCATCGCGTAGGTGTGAGGTTACTCGACGAAGATCAGAGCGTCAACCGTTGCGTATAGGAACGCATTCTTGACGTCGATCTGTCGGAGCTCCAGGTGCCGGCATGCGGCAATGGCGAGGAGAATGCGCACGGAGGTGTGACGACTGACAAGGGCAAAGATTAGGTCGAAGTCGACGTTATGACATTATTCGTAGCCTCGTATGATCCATCGTGCTTTGTAGCGCTCGATGTTTCTTTGGGCGTCCGTCTTGACGCGGTAGACCCATTTCCCATATAGGATCTTCCTTCCCTTCACTGCTGTGCGGTCCACCAAGACCCAGGTGTCTCGAGAGCGAAGTGCGACAA